CCAACGTACGCAAGAAAAATTGAGGTTTTTGTCATTCGCAAAGGGCCCATCGGCCCAAGGATTCGTGACTAAGAGGCGCTGCGTCGGGCATTTATTCAGGGACGCCCTCGTCGCTTTCGGACATGCTCTCATCGCCGCTGACTTCCATGTTCTCCCGTTCCCGCTTGTCCATGAGCTCCTGGAGGGCAGCGTCGTCGTGCTCGGTGACAGCCTTGGGCGCCATCTTGACGACACAGCCACCCCCTGCTTTCTTGATCTCGCTATCGATTCTCTCGATAGCCTCCTCGAGCAACTTGATACCCAGGTTCTTATCCAAGCACTGACTGGTCAAGACGTACAGGGGAGGGGCGACAAGCTTGACCTTGATCTGGTTCTCGGGAGTGTTGTTCGCCTCGGCAGTGCGGAGAGCGGTCTTGACGGCGTCGATTCCGTCATAGCCGAAGCAGGTGACTTCGATATCAGCACGAACTTTAGTCGGGGAGGGAGTCAGCTTCTTGCTGATGTACTGTGTCAACTCCTTCTTGACAGCTTCGCTGGGGAATTCCACATCCTGCCACACGTCGGGGTTCCTATTGATCATATGAGTCATAAGGTCGAAACATGTATTTGAGCGGATTGATCCTACGTGATGGAGATCTTGAAGGCATCGTGGGCATGGCCGTATTTCCGGTTCAGTGGCCACCCGATCTTCTGGTATAGCTCTTCAAGGGGAGTCTGAGTGGCTTCGGCAACATGGCGCATGATGGAGTGAACCGCCTTGCTCTTGTTGTACCTCTCTTCACACTTGACGACATCTTCGGGAGAAACTCGACGCTTGGAGAGATCGATGTAACCTGTACACAGACAAAACCTGTTAGACGGAGGGTCTCGAGCATGTTCAGGATTCGGCCACACTTGCCCTTCTCCTTGTCAACACGAAGCACGATGACAACCTCGTTGCGGCCAATACGAATGAGCTTCTGGATACTACGAATACGTCTCCGCGACAGTTCGGACAGCAGGATCATGCCATCGATGTTGTCATATTCGAGGAGCTTCACGTATGCGCCCATTTCGGCGATCTGCAAGATGGAAACCGAGTAATTAGCCAGAGCTTCGTGCAAAAGAACGATGATGATCATGAAGACAGTCCCATACCTGCTTGACATTGACCATGACATAGCTGTCAACCTCCGGATACTTCTCCTCGTAGAAACGGCAATTTGTTAACGACATTTTGGCGGGGCTGCGCCTGATAATAGGCCGGATGCGTCAACGATTTGAGGCTTGGAGATAAATGATGAGCCGGGATAACTTGTCCGTGATAGCTCCTATTAGAGGCTCGAGATGTGCGACAGGTGCAGAGGGAAGAGGAGTTGCGGCAACAGGCGAGTTCTTCGACAATCTCAAATCACTTTGTGGCGGTTCAAAACCCACTTTGGGCTTTGTTGGAGCCCGCAAAGAATTCGGGACAGCCAGAGGCGCCAACAGTGCAGCTAAATCACGTGATTAATTTCTCCACCGCCCGGCAGAAAAGAATCCCAGCTTATCCTTATCAGTCCTCTGCTATATCAGCACCAGCCTTTCCTGTCTCCTGCTCAAGTCACACCAGATTCGATTCGATTCCTGTGCCATGTCACTCAAGATCGCTTGACGGCCGCTGACGATTTTGTTGAAGCCGGCTCTGATGGACAATCATCGCTTTTCCTACTGCCTCGACCTTGCTCTCCCTCCGTCCCTCGGCTTGCTTGGCCGGGACTGGCCACCGCCCTTCGCACCTGGAGCACCACTTTCGTTGGTCCTTGTTGAATCATTTAGCTAATATTTAGAGGCCTAGCCTTTTCCCCTCTATTTACTACATTTCTGATTCCTTCCTCTATCTCTAATATATATCTCACGCCGGTCATGGCAGTTTTCGAATGATTGTTTGTCATATGTCCCCGATTATTGAGTGACCGCTGTTTCCTCTTGTATAACCATGTCCGATTCCACTTCCCTACACGGGACAGGTCAAAACCGCTCTGTGCGGGACCGAATCTTTGATATCTTTCGGACTTCTTCCTCAACCAGTTTTGCGGCTATCACTGAGACCAATCCACGCAACTTACCAACGTATACAACGGGAGAACCCGACGCTAGAACTCGTCTGCTGGAGTCATACCATGACGGGGAAGCTGTGTGCGGACAGAAGATTTGTCGCCATGGCACTTTCTCCCCGAGACCAGAGGAACAGCATGGCGTCTTGCGATGGAATGCCGGAAGGCCAGAGCTTCCAAGCGATTCCAGTGGGAGCTCGAGTGGTGTACACGGACCGGACAACCTACCCTCGATGGAGTCCTCGATGGAGTCCTCGATGTCCCCATTACCTGTGAAAAATCGCAACGCACTGTATGTTTTGATTCCCTGAAGGGCTGTGTGTTTTTCGGAGACATTCAGTATTGAAGTCATGGCTAACCTTCAGCTAATCAGCTACGTCTCCTATTACATCCCATTTTTCAATTGGATTGGCCAGTACCGATGGTCCTTCTTCCGGGGGGACCTGATATCTGCGTTGACTGTTGCATCAATCTATATTCCAATGGCACTCTCCTTATCTTCCAACCTCGCACATGCGCCGCCTATCAATGGTCTCTATTCTTTCGTGATCAATCCCTTCGTCTATGCCATCTTGGGAAGCAGCCCTTTGCTGGTCGTTGGCCCAGAAGCAGCCGGGTCGTTGCTCACCGGGACCATTGTTAAAACGAGTGTCAGACAGGGAACTTCGCATGAGGACAATGCTGCTGAAAATGCCATGGTGGTGGGAGTGGCCACTGCCATGGCAGGCTCAATGATCCTGATTGCTGGACTGACTCGTCTGGGATTTTTGGATAACGTCCTCAGTCGGCCTTTTTTGAGAGGATTCATCACCGCCATTGGCTTTGTTATCTTCGTGGATCAATTGATCCCGGAGGCTGGATTGGCAGAGAGGGCGAAAGACGCCGGGGTCAGTCACGGCAGTACTGTGGAGAAGCTACTCTTCTTTTTCGGAAATGTCAGGAACTGCCATGGTCTCACCGCCGCAATGTCTTTCAGCAGCTTCGCCATTATAATGGTCTTCCGGTATGTGCTGAATCCTTCCTGGAGGGTAGGCCCGTTCTAACTCGATGCGTTATCAGAACTTTGAAGAAGAAACTGCAACCGCGCTACCCTCAGGTCGTTTACTTTCCGGATCGTATCTTGGTAGTCATTCTTGCGGCGATTTTGACGTGGCGTCTAGGCTGGGACGAGAAAGGACTCGAAATCCTGGGTCCCATGAAAAATACAGGAAATGGAGTCTTTGCGTTCAAATGGCCTTTCCAGTTCAGTCACATGAAACATGTGCGCACCGCAATGAGTACCTCTTTCATCATCGCGCTGCTTGGCTTCTTTGAGTCCTCTGTAGCCGCGAAGGGACTCGGTGAGAGCAGGGGAGACGGAGTAAAGGGTATGACGGTCAGTCCCAACAGGGAGATGGTGGCTCTCGGCGTGGCCAATGTCGTTGGGGGGTGCTTCATGGCCCTACCGGCGTTTGGTGGGTACGGGAGAAGTAAGGTCAATGCTTCCACTGGGGCTCGAAGCCCCATGAGCAGTATTTTCCTGAGTATCATTACCCTGGTCTGCATTCTAGTACTTCTCCCATATTTATATTATCTTCCGGTGAGTTCCCCTGTTCTTTATGGATTGCTGCCAATTGTGATATTTTGTCATGGAAGCTGATGCCATTCAGAAAGCGGTCCTTTCAGCGATGATCTCTGTTGTCGCCTTTTCACTGATTGAGGAATGTCCTCATGATGTGGCGTTCTTTGTTCGTCTACGCGGTTGGACTGAATTAGCCCTGATGCTTCTCATCTTCGCCTCAACTATCTTCTATTCACTCGAGTTGGGAATCGCGCTTGGCATCGGGCTTTCTGTCCTGATATTGATTCGGCACTCTACTCAGTCGCGCATTCAAATCCTCGGAAAGATACCGGATACGGGTCGATTCGACAATGCCGAGCTCCATCCCGAGAATGTCAAATTGATTGAGGGCGCCCTCATCGTCAAGATTCCCGAGCCTCTCACTTTTGCCAATACTGGCGACCTTAAGAATCGCCTACGCCGTTTGGAACTATATGGCTCGAGCAGAGTGCATCCATCCTTCCCTCGGATGCGTTCACCGGAGAACAATAAGAATATCATCTTCGATGTTCATGGCGTCACTAGCATTGACGGATCTGGAACTCAGGTTCTTTTCGAGATAGTGAAAGGATATGCGGACCTCGGGACGCGAGTGTTCTTCTGCCGTCTTCCCAACCGCAACGTCTTTCGAATGTTTGAACGAAGCGGTATTGTGGAACAATGTGGAGGAATGACACATTTCGTCACCAGTGTGGATGAAGCGCTCAAACTTGCCGAATCGGAAGAGCAGACGGTCGAAAGCTGAAGTGGTTCACGAATAGAGCAATTATGTCACGAACAAACAACCCGTCTCCATTTGACCTTCACGATGTATTTGAACGATTGACGATACTGCATATATTCTAAGACAGCCGGCTGTATTTATAGATTTTTGAGGAGCATAGAGTCAGCGCAAGATTGCATCGTCGGATAAGGTTGCGAATTTCCATAGTTGTGGAGTACATAGACGAGCAAGCCCTTCTTTTTGAAATGATGTAGTGCGCGAAGAACGGGATCTTTCTTACTACCTGCCATTCTCTGTATCAAAGAGGCTCGCAATACTGCATTCCTTCTGCGTCAGGTCGGGTGATGACTGAGTAAAGCCCTGATAGAGAAAGTTGGGGCGACATCCAAGTAGGCGAGTCAGTTCAGGCACAAACGTCTCATGTGCGGCCACCGCACGTATCCAGATCTTTGATGCCGTGATCAGATACGGCTCATCAACCGCTGCCTGGCTTAGAAGATGGCTTTCCAGAACTGTAACAAGCATCTGATCACCTCAAGAGTGAAAGTGACGGCTTGAGAAGGCTCGAGCAAGTAAGCTCGCTGGGAACAACCCGTCACGCTCATGTCTGCTCATCGTCGCTCCTAGCAGCTCGACGTATAACAGCTTGAAGCAATGCCTCGTTCGCGCGCAATAGCAGCCGGTCTCTGCTCTCACGAGCAGCAACAGCACCATCTTCAGAACTAGCTCGTCCCGACGGCGCGACCAGCTTCAATTTGCCTTCACCGCCGAGGACGAAGCTGCCGCATGCAATTTTAGTCAGGCGCACGGGCTGATTGACCGGATAATGGCCGCTCGTCAGATCTCCAAGATTCAGTTTGATCGCCAAGTGCTTCTCTAGGTAGGTGGATAGGCCTGATAAGACGGAACTCTTCTGGGGAGTGGACTCGCTGTTGGAATTGATTCCGCGCACAAACTCCGTGAAGGAGCCACGCGGAAGATTAACATTCAGAGATCTTAGAGCTGGCGCAACGGGCGGCGAAAAGGACAACGTAAGCTGCGTCTCCTTGATGGTATCTTCGAACGTGCGATGAGAGTTGGAAGGCCCGTCGTGATCTCCCGACATCAGGATACCGGTGTACATCTCTAGGGCCGTACACATGAAAGTTGAGGGTAAGCGAAGAACAGAGCAGTACGTGTCAAAATTAGTAGACAGGAAAGAGATGAATGTCTGCCGCAGGGGATTTGGGAACCGTGTCAGTAGCAGCGGGAGCTGAGTGGACTGTTTCCGCCTCGCCGAGGCGCGACGGCCATCCGATACTGCGAGGAGAGCAGCTTTATAGGTGATATTCTCGTACTCTAGAATAACCAGTATCCCAGAAAGATTCTCCGAGGTAGCTTGTGTCGAGGGCGCCGATAACGTTTCCCAGACGCAGTCTCTGAGAGGTCCGGTTCTGGAGAGAACATCATCGTCGATAGCGCCAGCTCCACTTAATGGGGTCTGAGCACTAGTCAATAGATCCCCTGCAAGGTGAACCCTCAACCTGCCAGCATAAGTTCTCAGGGCGGCCTGATTGCCAAGAAGGGACTGGAACTCTTTGCCATGGTGCAGGGGAGAAAGACGGTGCAGCGTCCATGAGGTATTCAAGAGTGGCTGTAAGTCGGAGTGTGCCATCGCGAACTTCTGGATTGTCTTTGTCTGGTAAAGACTTCGGGTTGCATATCGAAGTTGCGGGGAGTCCTATCTCTGGAAATATCTCCCTGATCGCGATATGGAAGTAGTCGCGCTGGAACGCGACAGCCATCAGACAACAAAGCAAACAAAGCAAACAAACTAACCAAACGGATGTACTTTTAGGGCTTAGGGCTGTCGGTCAGAATTTACGAGAAAGAGAGAAGACAAGTCATTTGGACTGAACATGCAGGTGAATAAATTTCCAACCTATACTGTGCACTGTTTGTAGCGATTACAATCAATAGCAAGAATGCGCTCAAAACCCATTTCTATGCATCCTCAACTCCGAACTGAGATCCATGCCCTTTACCTAACGCCTGTGTCCCGGTCAATGAGAGTCCTCCTCATGCACGCCAGGCCCTGCCTTCCCGGCAATCTTGACAACCTAGTGTCACGGGGACACCATTCCAGACCCAGATATCCTCTGCGTCATGGGGAACAGCTCCTCGGGAGGCCAATTCCTCTCTCGCAACATCGAACCAGATATCCTGCACCGATGAATGTAGATGTGATACTGGTGTGCTTTCGAGGACCAACGAGTTGATATCGTCTTTCTCGTTCTGCATCAAGTCATGATGAAAATTATGCATGAAGTCCTTTCGTTGCATTCGCTGACTGCCACCGTCACCTATCTCTGCGGAGAAGTATTCCACAATTCGAAGAAACGGCGACACAGTAAGCAGCGAGCCGATCCAGCTGTCATCCGCCACGGACTCCTCGGGCGGCACAGTATGTCGTAGGTATGAAACGAGCAGCTGCATGCAATGGTGCGTACAGATCAGAGTCGAAGTATTGGTGAACGGGGGGGATCGAATAATTCTGATCTGTAAGTCTCGATACATGGATTTACGGACGTCCGGGGGTATAGGAACGGGCAATCGTCCGGCTTCCAGGTCTTGCAACAGTGCATTTTTCAAGTCACGGCGGGCAAGACTGTAAGCCTCCAGGAAGTATAGCGTGTAGTACCTGGTAGGAAGACAAGTCCCATCAGAATCAGTCGCCGAAGGATAATCTGTGACGAGACCTACATAAGTGGTATGAGGTTGAACCATAGCCTGGACTTCGCACGTTTCAGGAACTCATTGCGCTCATTCTTGGATGGAAACATGGCCTTGACGAAAGCTGGCTCGCAGTGCACGAATCGATCCATGACGCGGTCCGCGAGGTAGTAGCAAAGCTTAGAACACAGCTTTTGCCGTCGTCGCAAGCTATGCATATACCGGAAAGTGTACAAGTGACCGCCCTTGGCACTTTTGGCAGGAGGGAAGAGGTCGGACAGAAGCACGACATCGTCTTCGGGATTTCGAGTATATGTTCTCTCACTGTCGATGGGAGATGGCAGCGTTCCATGACGGCGCTGGCGAAGGTATTGACGTGCGATCAGTTGTTCATGAAACGTGAGGATTTGACAGAAGGCCCTGCAAACAAGTTTGAGCTGCAGCAGGTCTTTGATACCACATTGAGCGAAAATCTTGATTTGGATTTCGACAGGCAGGAGATCCCAAGGCGAGGAGGTTGGTACTATGTCGGGTTTATCGATACTGAACCTGTATCAGCGGACATAAGGTACAAAGAACTGTAAACCAGTAAACAAAGTAACAAACTTACACCGAGCTCGATGAAAATGAGGACGGGAAGAGGCTTTTCCGGGATGGCTTTTTACCGTCTGATTTTCTGCCTCTGCGAATAGCAGCACCGGCTTTCTTTGCATGTTGTAGCAGTTGTAGGATCGCACTCATCATCAAGCAGCGGAAACCATAAGGAGGCCAGCTCCACCTTTGAGGTCAAGTTGGAGGAACTGTCACCGAGTCACCATGCAGGGTGATGATGTCTATGAGAATAATGAATAATGTTCTCTTATGGAGGACTTTCAAAGAAAGAAGGTAAGGTAGGTAGCTTACCTCAAGAGCCATTGTAATTCTATTCTCCGCTTCCAAGATAGGGACAGGGACAGAAGGGCCGTGACTAAGCCACGCTTATCTGAACTAAGAATAGCCTGCCTGTGCAAGAACTATTATTAAAAGTGTTTTTCTGGGACTTTCACATGTCCATCATTTAAGAGGACTGATATTGAAGTTGGAGAGCTCGAGAGCTAGCCAAAGTTCCGAACAGAAGAGTGGTTAGAAGGGAAATGACCTTGCAGTTTTCCCCGTGAGGAATAAGTGATTCAGCATTGTATCTTGAAACGAAGACATGGTACAACACTTGACCGAGGGCAATACCACGTCTTCATTTTTTATTTTATTGAAAAGCACTCCAAATGACTGGTAAGATTGCTATTGATCTGAGCTTGGTTTGTAGGTAGTATGTCGCTACAAAACCATACTTTAGATATAGAATACTGTATGGAATGGGAGCATTTACGTCATCCGTTCCTTAGGTTGCGCAACGCTTATGCACGTGGCCGAAGGCAAGCGACTATCAACTGCAGTCGGTCGGAGGGCTCCAACAGTCCTTACCAACATTAAGCAGCGAGCTCAATCAGAAAAGGTAGAAATGAGCAAGAATATCCTCATTGTGGGTGCCACCAGAGGCCTTGGGGCCTCACTGAGACGATTGTACGCATCCAAGGCATCATCAACAACCACTGTCTTCGCGACAACACGATCCAGTGCCCCGCCAGAAGACAGTTCTGAATCTGAATCTCGCGTCTCATGGCTTCAGAATGTTGATATCTCCCAACCCGATGTTGGCGATACTCTGGTATCCCAACTACCCTCATCCACCAAGCTCTCCTCCGTGATCATCACGGCGGGCTATTTCGGGTTCGAGTCCTTTGATGACCCGGACTGGGAAAAGGAAGTGAGGATGTATACCACATCCGCCATTGGTCCCGTCTTTGTAGTGCAGCGCCTCGTCAAAGCAGGTCTGCTGGACAAGGGGAGCAAAGTGATCTTGGTCAGCAGTGAAAGCGGAAGTATCACATTGCGACACGAAAAGGAGGGCGGGGGGAATTATGGTCATCATGCCAGCAAAGCCGCGTTGAATATGGTTGGGAAACTTCTCAGTCTAGATTTGAAAGAGAAGGGCATTGCTGTCGGGCTGGTACATCCTGGCTTCATGCGCACGGAGATGACCAAGAGCGTAGGATTCGACAAGTACTGGGATGCCGGTGGAGGTAAGGGACATGGACATATCTACTGGGCTATAGAGCGGCGCTGATTATGCCTACCCGCAGCCGTCACCCCCGATGAAGCAGCTCAATCTCTTGCCTCGTTCATAGACAGCTTTGACATCACGAAGACGGGGCAGTTCTGGGCACCACGAGGACCTGGGTAAGTGCAGCTTGGACCATATATTCAAGCACAAGGCCGGTGCTGATGCTTTGACAGGGACATTGGGACTGCAGAAGCTGTTCTAGGGAAAGACTTGCCTACGCCGCTACAACTACCATGGTAGGCTATGGAGAGCCATAGACCACTTCGACACGTAAGTTGAAGATATGAATGGATTGCACCTGCGGTTAAATCTCGTGCTTCCTTTCCACCCAATGATAGTATATCCAGAATACACAATTTTGCCGGGGATCTTGCCCGTAACAATAACCGATGACGAGGACAAAACACTTGAAAGCTTCTCCACGTATGGAGTAGTTGTGGCATGTCAGTATGCCTACCTCCTGGATGGCATACTTGCCATCTCAGACAAGGACATAAGCAGATGGATGTACGGAGTAAGGTAGTTCGCATTCTTTCTCCCCACGTCTCATTCAAACATGCCCTTATCCTGGTTATACGGATGGGTTAAATTGCAGATCTGCTGCAGGAGGCGGGACTGTAAGTGAAAAGTGTTTCGACATCGATATTCGGTCCAAAAAACAAAAACGGAAAAACAAAACTTTAATGCATCATCCGTGAATCGAACACGGGCCTCGTCGATGGCAACGACGAATTCTACCACTAGACCAATGATGCTTGCTAACTTGGGAAAGCATCTCCTTTTTTAAACTAACAGGTGAAGTGAGACATTTGCAGTTCTATCCCCCTTGGGAATCGGAAAGCTATCCAGTACTGGATACTCTGACGCCATTACCTCAAAGGGGTGCGGCTTCGATTCAATCGATTACCCAATCATTTCATCCAAGTCCTCATTCCATCCCTCCGTCTACCTGTGTGCTACATGGGACCCGGGTACCTGCTATGAAATGCGAGTGTGAGTTGATTTCGAGATTCTGGCCCAGAATGCCGATATCCGAAGCACTGCCTCCGCCCGACAGAGTGCACTCACGCTGCGCCTTGAGGCTTATCCCATCGGCACAAGAAGTTTATCTGAGCAATCAGTGATTGGAATACGTCACAGCTCCGTACCTTGAGCTCGAGGGATTTACCTGATTTGCTGGGTCTAAGGGGCAATGCAGAACTACCTGCGCCCAGACAATGGCCGCTAGAAAACATCTGGAAGGACAATGCAGGCTCACATGGATGACCCGGTTGCCCAACATCGGCTCTGTGCATCAGAGAGGACGGCTACCGGGTCAACTAACAAGTGCATGACGCTCGTCAGTGGAACGATCTACAGTACCAGAGTCCTCGGCATGACAAGTCACTGTCGAATGGTGGTTGATGGCCGGATAATACGGGACAGATGTGCAAGTTCTGCGGCAGTGCTCTGCATTGAGGCTCATGGTTCCGAATACGAGGTGTCCAAAGAGTACCTAGACACTACCCAGCGATCGCACAGGCCAAGGATGAGCTGGGGAGTGCTATGGAGACAGATAGTTCGCTGTTGATGAGAGCAGAACCCATGTAGGTGTATGACACGATGCATCAGCGCATGAAGGAAACTGAGAAGCAAAGAAAGTAACATCACCATATCTAGCTCAGCCTTGTGATGTAGTTTGCGCCCGAATGCCCAAATGGAATTAATATGAGCTAGACTCCGTACAGTTACCGCCTAGCAGGACCAGTGGAAATCGCCAAGTGCTGCGCCCCACACGGATTGCGGAGAACCATGGTGGCCCCGTGGTAGATGGTGAGACTCAGAGGTAAGGTAGCTTAGATCTGTACAGAGTACAGGAAATGAGCTATGGCTATTTAACCCCGCAACTTCCCATCTATCTTCAACTCACGATCATCAACTGCCACCTTGGTTGATCACGTACTTGAGCTTTTCATCCCTTCTGGAGCAGACAACTCTCCTACAAGCGAACAATACAAACAGCCACTATGTCCACCGAAGCGAACATTCCCAACGGAAAGGCACCGGTGCACAGCGCCCTGGGGAACAGCTCCCGCGGACCAGGACCCGTGACCGTTCAGCCAGCACGCCTTGGCGATTTGCAGCCACGTTATGCCCAGCAGATCCAGCATGATGCCGATAACCCGGATGCGCATAGCTGGTACGCGTCCTTGAGTAAGTGTCAATCTTTTTTCTCTTCGCCTGACGCCGTTTGTTAACTCATTCTGGTTAAAATATAGTCCATGGATTGGGTGAATGCATTGGCTTCATGGGGGCTATCCCATGCTGCATCTGCTGCCCCAACCCGTTCAAGCCAGTTGCGCAGGGTGAGGTCGGTCTGGTATCCAAGTTCGGACGGTATGGAATCCTGGCTCAAGGTCGGACCGATGAGATACTTACTTCTGTGGTAGATTCGAGCGTGCGGTCGATCCTGGTCTGGTCAAAGTCAACCCTCTGAGCGAACATCTTACGACCGTCGACGTCAAGATCCAGATCGTCGAAGTACCCCGCCAGGTCTGCATGACCAAGGACAATGTCACTCTCAATCTGACCTCGGTCATCTACTACCAAATCATTTCGCCTCACAAAGCGGCTTTCGGCATTGCCAACGTACGGCAGGCTCTGATCGAGCGCACCCAGACGACCCTGCGGCATGTCATCGGAGCGCGGGTTCTGCAGGATGTGATTGAACGCCGCGAGGAGATCGCCCAGTCGACGTCCGAGATCATCGAGGAGGTTGCGGCTGGATGGGGTGTCCTAGTCGAATCGATGCTCATCAAGGACATCATCTTCAGCAATGATCTGCAGGACTCGCTCTCCATGGCAGCGCAGTCCAAGCGCATTGGTGAGAGCAAGGTCATTGCTGCTCGTGCCGAGGTGGAATCCGCCAAGCTCATGCGCCAGGTATGTTGTCCTTTCATCCACCCACCGGCAAGTCCACCCGAACTAACGCAGGACTATCTAGGCTGCGGACATTCTATCCTCTGCTCCTGCCATGCAAATCCGCTACCTCGAGGCCATGCAAGCCATGGCCAAGACCGCCAACAGCAAGGTCATCTTCTTGCCCGCCATCAACCAGACGGTGCAGCAACAGCTGGCTGCAGCTGAGAATGCCGGCGAGGGTCCAAGCAGATACGGAGCCGAACCGGCGGACGATGGGTTCCAGCGCGCGATGAATGCCCGTGTGGTGGAAGATATCTGAACATGAGGTGCCCGGTGTGTTGGGGTCAACGTTAACGCTGAAAATACGTTGACGCCATCCACCACGGATGAGTACCTGCGTTCTTTTGCTTTGCTCTACCTTAATACCCCTGATTCGACGGACGATACCCACTTTCTTTCATGTTGACTGACTGCGTTATGCTCTCAAATTTGTGGTTTGCTGGATATGCACGGTTAATTCCTGGAAACTTTTATAATTCTATCAAAAGGATAATGCCCATATTTAATTGAAGTTTCCCATGGACAATTTCATTCTTTCATTATGCAATCGACGAAACATATTCCCGTAGGCGGTGAGGATTAATCAACACCGATGGAAGCACCGACGGAACTGTCAACATGAGCTGGACATGACGATACAGAAACTCTAAACTAGCCGATGTTGGTCGCGCGTTTGGGCTAGTCTTGCTCTAGTAAATGCTACAAAGAACAAGCTCGCCGTTCTCAGTTCTTCCCGATACACCCATCCATGGCCTCAAGACAGACGCCCAGTCCAGCTCGCGCAGCTACCTTGGCATCAAACACACGATCCTCTCAAGAAGTGACACCTGACTTTACCGATCCATCCTTCGATCCAGCCGATTTCCTCAACGATGTCCTTCCCCCGCTGACGCTGGCGTCATCGCAATCACGAGCCCCGGGCGCCGTTCCCCTCGCGGAATTGTCCGCTCAAGTCCAATCGATTCTCTCTCAGATCAACGCGCAGAATGTCCGGCTTTCGAATCAACTCACACAACTGACCGATGAGATTCTGCGCAGTGGAGGGCGACTGGCTTACGAAGTTGAGGTGCTGCGGGGTGAAGCGATTGGTCTTTCGGATACTTTGACGGAGGTCCTACGGCCGGATATTGCCCAGTTCGTACCCGAGGGCCTGCGGACGACTGTGGACAGCGACAAAGATGTTTCGAGGGCTTCTGAGGAGGCCGACGAAGGAGAAAAAGCGGCAGAGAGGGGCCAGGATGACAAGGCCACGGTCGCTGATCCGGACTACATCACGAAACTACGAATGCTGAACCAAGTACGGTCGCGACTGGAAGATGTGGTTCAGACCTTTGGAGACGCCATGGAGTGGCCGTTGCCGCCGTCAGAAACCTCACTGACGTCGTCCTTCATCTCGGTCTCCGCCCCCGAACCTGGGCCCGAGAGCCAGAGTCTCGAGGAGAAGGGGCAGGAGGCTGCAAAGAAGCTCCGGAATGAGATTACAGAGTTACTCGGTACCAATGGGGGCGGACGAGCTGGTTTGGACGCAGCTGCAAGGCGATTAGAAGCGCTACGCGAGTTGGCGACGATATGGAAGGGCTCCGCGGAAGAGAAGGCGCGCCATCGTTTTCTGGATAGTCTGGCGAAGATTATAGAGGACCGACGCCGGTCATTGGAGAACCAGGGCAGTTCGGACCAGTCCCAGCAGCGATCCTCGTCGACGCGAGGGAAGCCGATGGGCCATCAACGGCAGGAAAGCGAGGGGCCGGGGGGTGGCATCTTCAAGAATCTACAGCGCCTGCGGGAGGAGATATACCTGGAATGAGGGCTCATATTCCTCCCTTCATGCGCATATAGTGTACAATCACAGTCGTCCAAGGACATGTGCTCCTCGCAGATGATTGCAGCATTACTGTGATGCAGACCGGAGAAATATTGCGTATACCTACTTGCAAACCTGGAGTTCTCGCGACGTCTAATGGTGTCTGGGAGACTAGGACACTGTCACACATAGACCATCTAGACAGCACGGAGTAGACTAGACTAGATGCTGATTTGGATGAAACGCCCATGCGCCAAGCCTCGACAGGCATCGTCCCTGAATCTCTGACATCTTTTACCCGTGGGACGAGGAGCGATGACGCGTCAGAGGCAATACACGGAGACAATCAATACAATGGGCTTCAGTACTGATTTACTGAGGGAAACTCGCTTGCAGATGCTCAGAGGAGGTCTTTGTAAAATCCGAGGATTAATATGACCTTCCGAAGCGAAATTAGATGGCGACCAGCTAGACAATATTGAGTCGTACACGGCACGACGTCGGTCGATCGCATCATGGCCGCTGATGGCCCAGGCCAATAATTTTAAACCCGCAAAAGCTCCACCAGGTCGATGTCAATCATTTCCTGCTCCATCTTACGGAGTACCCTGTACCATATTCTCCAGGCCTGCTAAGAGTCTGTGGCTTTTTGCAACGTGCGCTTTATCTTTCTACCCAATCTTTAATCCACAAAGCCAACGCAGATGGCTTGATCTGGTGCTGTATCATCGCGGCTGCAACCTCAACATACAACCCCTATCGCATTACTCTGTGTCGTCGTCATTGACTGCTCTACCATCGGCGCAAGCAATGTGGTACATTGCTTGATTGACTGTTGAGCGCCCCTCTCCCCCAGTCGCATAATTGACGACTATTACGACTTGAATCCCTCATCGATCTTTGCATGTTTTCGAATGTCTCAATGCAGGAATGCCTATCTCGAGCACGATCTCCGTTTATAGTGGTTGATACCAACATTCCTTTTGCGCTCGGCTTGAGCTGATACTGGGATTGATTGTCGTCCGTTCTTGTTGAGGGCCAGCAGTGAACAACAGTTCGGCCAGAATGGTTACCTTTGTCGGTTCCACCCCCTGGGTCGACCAGTATAAGTCTTTGTGCTCGACGGCGACGACGCTTCTGCAACGAGTCTATCTATATGGTCGACTGAGGGTTCGTCCGGCTAGGGCTCTCATTCTCATACTTGCCGCGTGTTTTTCCCTTTACGTTCTTCTCTCATGGTCCTTTAGACAAGTGAGTTCTCTGGTTATATCAGGTTGGCCTGGATTCGGGTTCGGACCACACAGCTGACAATGGCGCTCGATAGACACCCGTCAATTACTGGCTCAAGTATCCCTCGTACCACCCGTTCAGTGGCCGCCCCGAAGACACGCCAATGCTCAACACTGGTGGACCTACTCTGAGTCTGAATGACACTCTGCCGAACAGTCTGCAGAAAAATAACCCTTCTTTTCACCTGGTATTGCCCGCTGGGCAGAAGAGCGCCGCGCTTTGTCGCACAATAACCTCCGCAATGATCTTGAATTACCCCCCGCCTACCTTGGTCCGATACGGCAGAAAGCTCCCAGACGGATCCTCCGATTATGATTACATGGTGGACCGTGTGACGGGCATATACAATTTTCTGGAATACACCTCGCACGTGCGGGACGGCGATTTTGTCCTCATCGCCGATGGCTATGACGTTTTCTTCCAATTACCGCCGGAGGTGCTCATCCAGCGGTTTCAGAATATCCTCAGAGAGAATAATGCCAAGTTGAGAAAGAAATACGGCCTTGTGACGGAGTATCATCCTTACCGCAGAGGCCTGGAGGAGACCCTGCAGAAATACTCTCAAAGAGTGCTATTTGGTGCAGGCAAAGAGTGTTTTCCCAACATCACCGCGGACGCCGGCTGTGTCACCGTGCCGCAGTCCAGCTTGCCCCCGGATGCCTACGGCTGGAAGACCGATATTCATCCGCAGGGACATTTGACCCGACCACGGTGGCTGAAGCCCGGTACGGTGATCGGCCAGGCTGCCGATCTGAAGTTAATCTACGCCGAAGTACTGCGCTTCGTGGAGGAAAATCGTCACAACCATAGTGACTATCTGGCCCTGACCCAGATGTACGGACGCCAGGAGTACGTGCGAGAGCTGGAAAGACGGAGAAGTTCCAACCGGCTCAAGGAGTTGGTCCACCGACTAATCGGCATTTCCGATGCTGCGAATGTCACGGGCGTGAATCCGCGCCTCGAGACCGGTCATCGCTACGAATATGGAATCGGAGTGGATTTTGAATCTCGTCTATTCTTCAACACATACAAGTCGAAGACGGACGTCGAATGGCTCCAGTACCACAATATCTCCACGACATCTTCTGTCCAGATGCACCACGGCGTTCCTCGCGAGAGGCGTCTCCTGCTTTCCGCCGATCTTGCCAGTCCAAGGCTTGGCAATCCCTTCATCCAACCCAAGTTCGCCAAGGACGAACAGGTCAAACCAGAGTTCAACTCAACTCTTGACGCTCTTCCACCCCCGAAGAATCATTCATGGCATCACATGCCCTTGCTGACCAATATCCACTCGGCCTCTGTGCCGGCCCTGATTCATCTTGACGAAGAAAAGCCGGTCAAGGATGACAAAAGCTGGCCGGTGAAGCACCCCGAACGGCTGATGCGAGATACCTGGTGGTACAACATGTGGTACCAGCCGTGGGCTCGTGCGCTTCTCCGCAAGTACATGCGTAGCCCGACTGGATTTGACGCTGCCCAATCAGCCCTGCTGGGAGGCCAAGACTGGTGGGATCTGCGCGGCGGCAAGGGAGGCGTGTGGACGGACAAGGGAGAGTGGCTCGACTATGCGGAGGTCTGCGCGGGCTTTGAAGACGAGGTTTTCGACGATGATCTGGGGAGATGGGGCGAGGAAGGCGGGGACGCGGATGAGCCTGTTTACAATCAGTTCGGCAACCTGGTCAAAGGCAAAGAGGACTCGTATTGGTAGTTTGTCCTCAATCCCCTATGCTGTCTTCAACAGTTTGTACGCGCCTAGCTACGGCACAGCATCAGCGAAGCGAAGAGCATGGCCCGTCTTCTCGCTCTGCATATACTCTTCACATCTTTTTGCACCTACCACTTGCAGCCGGGTCGATATAGTCATATCGTTGCTGACGATCATGCATTTCTCGGTGTTTGGAGTTGGTTTCTTCTTGTCTTTCCTCTCTTTTTGGCACCGTTGCCCTTTTGAACGTCGGCCGGATATTACCAGTCGAGCGCATTTGACTCCCTACCGCAAAACCAACACTACAGAACCAGATACCAGTCATATACCTGATAGACCAGTGACTAGACACAGTACGAGACCATTGCATTCTTTAAATCCATTTACAAATCACCCATCCCCATCTAACCCTACCCTCCCCGTCCTCCCCTTCGACCCTAACGTCTCCCGGATGATAGCCAATACCCGCGCAACATCGTCCTCCGATAACCTCTCCTCC